CCTAGTCTTTTTTCATGAAAGTTAAAATTTCCTTCGACCTATTACATAAAAAAAAATATTTACTTGATACTTTTCATACTTTGACTATGTCTTCTAACTTAAAAAAGGGCTTTAGTGAATTTCTAGAATTTGTACCAATTTTGCTGTATTTTCAATAGTTAGTCTATTTCGAACATTTTAAATTTCTTCCACCTTCGTCATGAACCTTATTGAGTTCAGGAGATATTCCTTTGAAGCATGGAAGCCGTAATAATTATCTATAGTATTTATGTACCCATGAAGAGGAAATAAAGTGATAAGAAAAAATAATAATAATTATCCTGTTTTATTTTAGGTCATGGATGTTTGATTGGACAAAACACAGGAAACGTAGTTGGTTATGGCTCACGAAAAGCACTTGTCGGATATGTGAAAATGCAAGCAAGAACAATGTCACTGTGCCTAAACATGATTGCAGGTAATAGCATTTACTTTCAGTATATCACTTTCCTATCCCTGGATATGGTCACAAATATAATGCTCTATTTATTGCCAAAGTCAATTTATTGATATGTTTTAGAAACACCTATTTCAAGCACAGATTCAAGTTGGTTAGTGATCACCTTTGATACTTGACATGTGTATTCCTTTATAACAAGACCTACCAGATAAGGTCATGAATTTAGACCTTGTGGCCTTTACCTTGGCGTAGGACACATTTTTACCAGGGACATCAGTGTTTGACAAACACACCTTGTTTCATAATCTGAACCATTCTGTGATTATCCAAAATAAAAGCCTCTAAGATGTGCCATTTGGTATTTTCTTTATTACATTTATATTCATTCATACCTAAATTTATTTACAGGTATAACTGGTCTAAGCAGTGCCAAATCCATGGAGTCAAGTCTTGGTGTCGAGCTCCTGCAGCAATCCACAACAGATGAATCAAACATAAAGTATATCATCATGGATGATGATACAACCACTCTGTCACACATCCGAAAGAATTACGATGCAGAAATAGTAAAGTGGAGTGACATTAACCATTCAAAGAAAAGCCTCAACAACCACTTGTATAGATTAGCCAAAACCTACAGGAAACTTACCGGAAAAGTGATATCATATTTGAAGAAATGTTACTCTTATGTTTTGACCCAGAATAAGGATGATGTGGAGGCTGTCAGAAGTGGATTGAGGTCCATCATTACCTCATGTATTTAGGGACCACAAAGACTGTGGATCATGGTGTGGGTTTCTCACAAAGGAGCAGCATACAGATACAGTTCTCTTCCGCGTGGCCAGTGTTTGGAAGGTGATAAGTTCAAGAGTGATCTGCAGGCTGTATTTGAAGTCCATGCTTTAAATGCTGAGAGATTAGCACCTTTAGGGAGTACCAAGGCCAATGAGTCTTTCAACAACGTCGTGGCAAGCAAGGCTCCGAAAAGTCGTCACTATTCTAGCTCAGAAAGTTTGGATTTTAGGATTGGTGCTGCAGTCTCACAGAAGAATCTCGGGCCAGGATATCTTATGTCTGCATATAAGAAGAAATGTATTTCCCCTGGAAAGGCTCTGGCACTGAAGGCAAAGCAGCTCCAAAGAAAAGCTGCTAGGAGAAAGGCTCAGTCTACGACAAAAGCTTTCAAGAGAAGGAGACTGCATTTGGCGGAGTCAAGATGCAAGTTCACAGAAGAACATGAAGTTCGAGGAGGTCAGACATACGAGACCAACATAGCATTATCTGATGTACAGGATGTAACACAGATACCAGACCCAGAAGTTCTTCCTGTGAGCAAGCGAGTTGATGTTGACGATTACCAGTTGATAATGTTCGACCTGGAAACCTGTTCTACAGAGTGGGACACTGACATATGTCAAATCAGTGCTGTGGTAGATGAAGCCCATGTTTTTAACAAGTACATTCTTCCACGCAAACCAATCAGTCATTTTGCATCAAAAAGTTACACATCTCACTGTTCATGAAAACACTTTATTGCACAGAGGTATTCCTGTAGAGACTGTATCTGCACATTCAGCTCTAACAGATTTCATTACATGGATGAGAGCTTTCAATTCTTTGATTATCCTAGTCGGACATAATTCTAAATCTTTTGATTCTGCCCACATTTGCAGGGTTGCACAAAATTACCAACTTTGACGGCAATGAGTGAAATTGTCCATGGTTTCATCGATACTCTTCCACATTTCAGGAAGTGTTATCCTTTATTATCATGTCATAAAGAGAAGAATATCTGGTGGAAACATTGTTGAAAAAAGAAATTTGATGCTCACAATGCCTTGGCAGATTGTCTTGCCCTTCGTGAACTAGTTACACTAAATGACACAGACCTATTCCAGCATAGCTTTGGAATGGACTGGGCAGTTTTGCACATGCAGTACTTGAAAAGAAAACATGAAAATGTGAAAAGCTTTTCTGTAGTTGTCAGGAAAAAAAGTGCTCTCAAGAACAATGGCAGAAAGGTGTGCAGCTTCAGGATTAAAATGTGTCATCTCTATCTTGCCTTCCAGCGAAAAGGTGAAGATGGACTCAGGGCCGTACTGTCTGAGAAAACAAGTGCTGGAATCCGTGTTACAAACAGAAGAAATGTCATTGACAATTTCGTGACTTATTTTGAACAGTTGTCACAGTCTTGCAAAGAGTGAATATATTTAACTCCTTATCTAAAGTTTGTCATTCATTATATCATTCATTGCTTGACCAATTATTAGTATAGTCAGTGAAGGATTGAAGTATTATTACTTGTACTTTTTCAACAGTGAGAGTGTAGACTTTTGATGGGTAGTTTGACTGCCAGAGCTTGTTCCATTGTAACTTTGACCATTTATTAGTACAGTCAGTGAAGAATTGAAGTATTATGACTTGTACTTTTTCAACAGTGATAGTGTAGACTTCTGATGGGTAGTTTGAGGAGCTACTTACATTTTATTACCCTGGCGGATTTGTACTTTCAAAGCAGTATGTTGTTCGTATTCACTGATTCAAACAGTTTTCAGTTAAACAGTAATATAGGAATGAGAAATGTTAGAAGATATTCAGGTATATCTATGGTGCAAAGTATAACCTTGTTATTTCTTTGTAGGAAATGAAGTTGTTTGGCTCTTATATCATGACTTCACTTTGCAAGAATATCTACTTTCTCTGACATGGTTTTCATATCAACCAACTGTATATAGATGTACTTTTTTGAACTTGTAAGAATATGCAAAATGTTATGTATTCCATAATTAATTAGAAGACTGTTGGTTTATTTTCAGCAGAAAAAAAGAGTTTTTGGAACCAGTGTCTGTTGTGACCTAAAAAATTATCTCCCCTTGATCTGAAATGTGAACCTGACATGTGAAACTTGTGATGATTATTATTAAACTTAACCTGGATACATATGAATATTTCTGTTTAATAATGTTGTTTAATGTTATATCTATCCAATAAATCATTTTTCGTACAATTTTTGAGATTCGTTGATCAAGATTGTTTTATTGGGAAAAAATAACAAATTTTGCGTAAACAAACATTTTATTGAAAATGCTTATAAACGTCAATAAATCATTAGATTTTCTATTCTTAAGTTTAAATAACATATATCAATGAACTTTTATTCAAAATAAGTCATTATTATTCAATAGTTGAAAGTTTTTCTTCACATTTTCATAAAAGCAAAAAAAGGTGATGTTTTGATATTTTCAACAACACCTACCAGATTGGAACCCACATTTTCTCAAAAACGAGCAGGGTAAGCCCTATTTTTTATTACAGAAATGAATTGAGCACATGTTTTTATATACAGAGTGGAAATATAAGCATTTTCATGAGACTTTGTCAAATGGTAAGGAACCTCCTTAATTTAAGTTCAAATATACTTCTCACCGCCATGTTACTACTAATCAGTTGCACCACACTGTCTGTCAAGAGGCCTGTTTAGACGTTTGCGTTTTAGTCTAAGGTTAGTAATTATACATTTGTAATATGTATATAGCTAACTAAATTCTAATATAAATAATTGTATAACATAGGCATAAATATGTTGGGGCGCCACCTAGCGGTCGTAGAGGCAAGTCGCATGGTTTGAGGGCTCCGCAAACATATACCCGAAACACGGCAACCTCCCAAAACCCCTATATCCCATAACCCCTACAGCTTATAACAACAAAGTTCATGGTTCGCTGCACTGCTAATCTCCTGCCTGTTACCTATTTAGTACAATGGACCAGCCCAAACACTTAGCAATTGAGAGAATGAGCAATAACCAAGCTTAGAGTTTGAGAGAATGGTTTTAACAAAAGTCCAATAATATTGAGGTCTAATTAACAACATTAAATATCATAATGTCATAACATATTAAATGTTTTTTATGTTTCATTTTTCTACATATTATCTGTCAACCTTACGCAAATTGGTTTTGCTATGTTCCAGCCTCACAAACCCATTTTGTTTGACTTTTGACCCCACCTCCCAAAAAAACAAAACAAAAAACAACAACAAAAACCGCTAGTTCTGCAATAAATGCATCACAAACTTCAGGAAAGGAAATATGCAAGAAACATTTTGTGTGTTTGAGATCAAACTTAGATATTAAAGTGCATAAAAAAAGCAATTTGAAACTACAGCCGCTTGTTAAAGTGATTACTCCCTTCATGTATACTGAAAGAGATTGTTTTGGAGACACTACCCACCCCAGTTCAGATGATGCAATCATAAGGACATAAATTATTCTCATGTTTTCACTTATTCATACAAGGACACCCCCATTGTACCTGATGCAAAGGGTTCAAATTAAATACTGAATGGTCACACGAATGTCAGCTCGCAGTATATTGTAAACAGTGCCAGCTTGAAAATCTGGACACAGTCTTTGAAAGATTCAAATGGGGGTGTCCTTGAAAAACAACCCTGTCTAAATTTAAATCAAACAATCTAAACCTTTGAATGGTGATTATGACGGGTAGTCATCCAATACTATGCTGAACATATCTTATATGATACCATTATCCAAGAGGTACCAAATGACAGATCGTTTAAAGATATGCTATACCCCAGTGTGGTGTGATATGTGAAATTTTGGATATGGTTTTGTTAATAATTTCTTCAAAATAAAATGGAAACTTTTTCAAACAAGGGGCATTGTGAATATAGTTAGGCTGACTGCTTTTTTGAACTCAGTCTTTATCTCAGTTTACTATCTACAACACTGTTACAACTGATATTATTACGATTTGTAGAATGTGTCTACTCACTATGTACATAAGGAAGCTAAAAAAACAAGTTCAACATTTAATTCATCTCAATTATTTAAAATGAATTATTCAAACCCTAATAACAATAGCACAATCTTATTGCCTTCTCATCTGTATACTCTGTGCAGCTTAGTCTCACGCTGTATACTCCATCCTGTAACCTCTCCTTTGGGTCAGTTCATTATACCAGACAGGTAAACGCCGTGTGTTGTTTTAACTAATTGTAGGGGTACTGGGCTGTTGGGGTTGTGGGATGTAGGGGTTTTGGGAGACAACCCGAAACACCGTTTATCTAACGAAGGAGAACGTCAATAAACACCTAAAGTGACTTGAAAAGACGGCAACATGAGATCTGATAATAATCTCCACAGATTACAAATTGGACGGTTTCATGGGATTTTTATAGGAAAGATTTCCGTCCGTATCCTCCTTAAATTCAAGTCAAATCATATCACCTGAATATATACTAGGCACATTAAGAAACTGTGCATACAAAAATTTAAAATCTAAATTTATGAAACCTGTGTAGACACATAAAAATTAAACTCAGAGATTAGCTACATGTATCCAACATGCATGCACGTGCCACGTTCCATGACGCCAGTGGATTCGTCCTCGAGACGTGCAATACGTTGTTGCACGTGCATTCCAGGAAAGAGAAACAGAGCAAATGAATGCCACACAATACTGTCATTTTGGAAAGCTCAACCCCTGCCCTTGCGATCGTTCAAAAAGTTAGACGGCTATTGAAACGCATAGCATGCCAAGGCTCACGTCTGCGCAACGTCATGAGGTCATTGGGATGGTCCGTGGGGGAATGTCTCAACGACAAGTGGCTGCACATTTCCACTGCCACCGGAACACTATTTCTGCACTGGTGAGACGCTACCAGAACACAAATGACATCATCGATCGGCCACGTTCTGGACGTTCATGTGTAAGAACGCCAAGACAGGACAGATGGATGAGGGTGACCCATCTTCGCCACAGGTTTCAGACTGCAGTGATGACTGCCCGAACCATCCCAGGACTTCGCCGTATCCACCCCCACACAGTTCGACAACGTTTACGTCATCACGGGATCAGATCACGACGCCCCGCCATACGGCCTATCCTGACACGTCATCGACAAGCTCGCCGAATGTGGTGCCGAAATCATGTCCGCAGAACGTGGTTTTGGTGGAGAAATGTTGTTTTTACAGATGAGACCACGTTTAACTTTTCCCATAGTGATGGACGTCAACGTGCATATAGACGCGTGGGAGAACGTTATGCACAGGCCTGTGTCTTTGAGAGGAATCGCTTTGGTGGTGGTTCCATGATGATTTTTAGTTGGAATAACACCACGCCAAAGAACTCCTTTGGTGATTGTTCAGGGCAACTTAACTGGTGTGGGCTACAGGGATCAGATTCTTCGACCTGTGGCAATTCCTTTTCTGCAACGTTATGGCCCTGGGTTAACATTCCAACAGGACAATGCCCGCCGTCATACGGCAAGGGTTGCTATGGATTTCTTGCAACACCACAACGTTGACTTACTGTCTTGGCCTGCAAATTCCGGATCTCTCCCGGATAGAGCATGTTTGGGACGAGATGGATCGACGTCTACGCCGTCTTCCTTATCCGCCAGATAACGTCCTTGACTATTGCAACAGAACTTGAGAGAATCTGGCGTGACATCCCACAAGCCTTCCTTGCACGTTTGATAGGCTTTATGCATCGTCGATGCACTGTTGTTCTCAATGCCGATGGTGGACATACCCGTTATTGAGCTTGTGACATGGTTGTTTGACCCCTGTCCCGTTTGTGGACTCGTGACGTCATTTTGATTGACTT